CTCTCCGTCTCCGTCAGTTTGCGAGAGGTGTAAGCGCATGGCTGCAATTTCCTATCAGCGTTCGTTTGAATTAACACTGCCCCCACCACCACATCACTGGCATCAGCTTGAACGTTAAATGGTGTCTCCATATCTGGGTGTTTCAAAATGGGTTCAGCTGCAAAGAGTCGCTTTAATTTCTCGAAAGCTGCTTGACACTCCATAGTCCAATTCAAAGGCTTACCCGGTCTGGGCTTGGCCTCCTCTTTTGACTTTAGGAGATTTGTAATGGGCAGAGCAATGCTGGCGAATGAGGGGATAAATTGACAATAAAAATTCGCAAATCCCAAAAAACTTTGTAATTGTTTGCGGGTGCGAGGGGGTGCCCACTCAGTTACAGCCTGAACTTTCGCTGGGTCCATCTTGATGCTGTTGTGGGAGATGCGATAGCCCAAGTAATGTGATGAAATTCACATTTAGACAATTTGGCATAAAGTTCTGCGGCTTGGAGTTTCTTGAGTACTGATCGTACTAACGTCACATGTTCTTCACGTGTTTCCGTGTAAATAAGAATGTTGTCAAAGTAGACCATCATGCCTTTGTACAGGTGTTCATGTAAAACTTCATTTATTAATTGCATGAAAACAGCTGGCGCTCCCTGTAGGCCAAATGGGAGTACTCTGAATTGAAAACACCTAAGTGGGCAGTTGAAAGCAGTTTTCCATTCATCTCCCTCCTTGATTCTGACTCTGTAGTAGGCCTCTCTTAGGTCCAATTTCATGAAGATCTTTCCTTTACCCAACTGGGCCAACATATCCTTCATCAGAGGGAGGCGGTAAACATTTTCCACACATACAGTATTAAGATTCTTGTAATTAACAGAGAGACGAAAGGAGCCATCTTTCTTTTCTCGTAACAACACTGGGGCGGCCACATGTGGCCTAGCAGGTTCAATAAACCCCCTTTTAAAAATTTTGTCAATAAACTTCTGTAATTCCTCCATTTCGCGTGGGATCATTGAGTAAATCTGGGGTTTTGGAAGTTTTCCCCCTGGGAGGATATCAATGCTGCAATCTGTTGTGCGGTGAGGGGGTAATTTATCAGAGGATTTTTCACTGAAAACGTCCCTTAGGTCCCAATATTCTTTTGGGATTTTCTCTCCCTCAATTTTTTCTTGCACCGCGGCCGCTAGGTTAGGTTCAGCGTTGGTAATATTGGAAACCCTCCATTCTTCCTCAGGGGGTTTAGTAGATCAGATGCGCAACCACCCTTTCTTCCAGTTGATGTGTGGGTTCAATTTACGTAACCAGGGTAAGCCCAGTATGAGAGGCCAGTCCATTCCCGGCGCCACAATGAAACTTAATGTTTCCTAGTGATCTCCCATCCACATGTCTATTGGTTCAGTCACAAAATGGGCAGGAGCCCCCCCAGCTATTGACCCATCTAGCTGGCAAAAAACAATGGGGACTTTCAAAGTTCTCAGTTTCAAGCCCAGTTTTTCCACCACTTCCAGGCTAACGATGCCGCGTGTGCATCCCGAATCTAAAAGGGCC